GGGCTAGACTAGATGACCTCATAAGGTCCCTTCCAGTCCTACTTTCCTATGATCCTATGTACAAGAAGGAGAGGAAGATCAGAATCCAGATCCTAATACCTAAGATCAGCAACAATGGAGTCACAATACAACCTAGATCCTGAATTTGTGTGAAATGTTTAAGTGATACATGAGATTTCAGAAACTGTTTAGCGTAGGCAGTAACTGGGGAAAGGGATGGATTTCTATGTCCTAGTGTATTAGGATAAGTACATTATGAGACATGTTTAAAATTCTTACCTTTTGTGTCCTTTTTATTATTTAGTGGGAGTCTATCAATTTATCCCTTTGTGATCCTGCCTTCCCGTCTGAAAAACAGTGGAGTTTGTGTTATACACAGTTGCCTAGATTTTATCCAGTGTTGGAGCAATGGGCATATCTGCCAATCAAAAAAAAAATTAAAAACAAGCAAAAAGCATAAACTCAAACAAAAATGTGGTCTTTTGGTACATGTAAAGTTCCTTGAATCATAAACATACATGTAATAGCCCCAGTAGAAATAAACAATTTAAAAGATCTTCAAAAGGACATTTTTAAAAAGCCTAAGGAAGACATATATAGTGTTGGTGCTAAAAGCAATAGAACAGAATAGAATATCACAGGTGTGATGGTGTTAAAAGTAGAAAGAAAACTATATAGAAAACTTGGTACCTAAGTTGCTTTTGCAGGGAGATATGGTACAGTTGGACTCTTGGACCTGTTTGGAGAACTCTGTTTAGGTCAACAGAATTTCACAGGAGAGAAAGGGCTACTACCAATGGGCTAGCTTTACAAGTTTAGGCCTCCATTAAGTAGCAAATATGAGGGACAAAAAAGAAAAAAAAAGGTTGAGGCCAGTGGTAATATGAACTATGGGAAGTCATCTTCTCCCCTCTCCTTCTCCTGCTCTTCACAAGAACCTAACACTAGTTCTTATCATCATCGGAAATTAATCTCATATCATATGCAATTGGAAAAGTAAGAAATATACAGAAAGGCAAAAGGAAAACTAACATAAACCTACCAAGATGCAGTCCTTGCTTAGTTTTTGATTAGCAGTCTGGTCACATCCTTTTCATGGGAAGAATATTCAGCTTTCTTTGTCTACAATGTTGAGTGACTATGAAGAGTAAGGCTAGCCTAGCTGTAATTATTTTTTAAATTATTAACGGTTTTGTTAGGTCCCTTCACTTTCACATTACATGTTTGCTAATGTAAGTGAAATCATAGTGTACTTCAGTTTCCAGGCAGCTCACACACTTCTTTTTCATTCTTTCCTAACACTCCTCCAAGATCTCTTGGAGGTATCTTTGAGAAAGTTTGCTTCTTCTCAACCCTCGCTCTCCCCATGCTGTGAACACAAAGGGGAGCCTGTTGAGAAAGCTCTTGTCGGGCTGTAAGTGATAGAGGCATCCTTGCATGTCCAGTTATGCACCAACTCCAGCTAGAGAGCGCCAGATAAACCGGATTCATGGAAAAAAAGAGAGACTTGTGGGGATATCATCAGGCAGTAGAAGGACTGCCGACATAGTCGCTTTATTGGCACTTTCTCTTAAAAGCTTGGGAGGAACACGTGGCCTTTCCAGATACTTTTGATGAGAAAAATCTTTGCCTAATATTTTGTGGAAGTCTCAGGCAGTGGGCATGAAGGCTGGAACAGAGAGCGAGCGCGCTGGGTAGCCCTTCTAAGGAGGCTAAACACATGAGTTGGTAACTCCAGCTCACAGAGCTCTTCCTGGCTGGGAAGTACAGGTGGAAGAAGAAACCCTTGTCAAAACCCATGAGCGGGAGGCTGGCACTCTTGGACAGAGGAAAGCCCCCCCGGGAACGCCTCCCGCCTTGGCTCCTGCTGGCAGTGAGGGAGCCCAGGTATCAGGGGGCTGGAGGGCAGGGCTGGAAAGGCGCGCTCTGTGTCCGCGGGACAGCGGGAGCTGCGGATCCAGAGGGTGGAGCTCGGCGCGGGGGCAGCGCCAGCGGGCTGCAGAGGAAAGCTGCAGAGGGATGGATGGCTGCAGCTCTTCCCTAGTCATTAAGTTGCCATCTCTCGCTTTCATTTCGGTGCCGGGCAGCACGAGGCGCCGCGGCCGGCTCCAGCCATGGATTTAAGTTTGATGTCGTGGCTTCACTCCCCACCG